GGATCGATGGATTTCATATCACATTCCCATTGAAGTAGAACTCAACTTACAAGAGGAACAGATCAAGTGGGGATGGCACTTCAAATTTGAGGCCTATTGGCAAAAGCATGAAGAGTGTGGTTCTGTTATTGAGACTGAATGGAAGAAGAATCCAGACTTACCTCTGGATGACAGAATTAAGAACTGTGAGAAAGCACTGCTTGACTGGGGAAGGAGAACTTTTGGCAGCTTAAAAGTGAGAAAGAAGAGAATTGAGCGAGCACTAGTCAAGCTATCAAAAGCAAAAAAAGAACAAGGCTGTTCTGATACAACGACGGGCCTTGGAAAGGGAGCTAATGAGGTATTGGACCTGGAGGAAATCAGGTGGAAACAGAGATCCAGATCAGACTGGCTGAAGGAAGGGGATAAAAACACGGGTTTCTTCCACCGCAAGGCTTCCAATAGAAGGAGAACAAACACGATTAAAGAACTGCAAGGTGAGAATGGAACGATATTTAGGGGGCAGGAGGAAGTGATGACTTGTTTTACTGAACATTTAATACAGCTCTATACAGCTGAACAAATGATAGACCGTTAATTGCACATGTTTTTACCCCCAATTCTTGAGCCGTTTGAGATGTTGATTCTCGTGTTTTAGGCCAATTTCACGCTAGGTTGTTCTTGTTTGTGATATTTCAGGTCCTAGTAGGTGAATGAAGGTTTGGGAGCGAGTTCGGGGTCGATTGGACGAAGATCGGACGTGTGGCGAGGCGCTGAGGAAGCCACACGGGAACTCCTGAAACCCACACGGCCATGCAAGTCACCCATGTGGCCGTGTGGGATTTAGCGAGGCTTCACACAGTCACCTTGGGAATTCCACACGGCCGTGTGCCCTTGCCCGTGTAGGTAGCCTGAAGTCCATTTATTCGAAACGCCGCATTTTGGCATTCACACGGGCAGCTGGGTAAGCCACACGGCCGTGTGGCCTGCCCGTGTGGTCGGGAAAATCTGGGTTTTAACCCAATTTCGAGCCAAAGGTGAGAGAATCTACTTTTTGGAGCAAAAACAGAGCCCTAGAGAGAGAAAGTGCGAAGAACTCATCCTAAGAGTGGTTTTGGAGCTGGGTTTCATCAAATCAAGCTTGGAGATCATCATAGGAGTGAAAATCATCATCCCAGAGCAGATTCGTCCCATTGTTATGAGTATGACTGCTTTGTATTCTGTTTTCCCTTCTCTCTCTATGGAGTAGAACTCTCTCTCACTTGGGTATGAAGAACCCTAGTTCCATGTGTTAGGAATTTTGATTGTAATAACTTGGGATTGTTATACTATTTGATTATAATCGAATGATGCATGATTCATTGAATTAATTGAAGTCTGATTAGCTTTTCTTGATTTCTGCTGCAACCTGAGATAGATAGAATCTGATTAGGTTGTTAGGGCTTCATCATTCGGTAGTGGTGGATTGGTTATATGAGAGTTAGTCAATCTACTGCTTTGTACTGGAATCCAATTCCAGTACTGGAGTTCTGTGTTCATAGCCTCAGCTTTCTATCCCGGTGAAGACTAGTCGTCTGCCGGGTAGTTTGATTGAGAGGGTTTGGTCAGCTTAAGAGATTCCAAGCTACTGTCGGATCTTCCGCAGTTTAATCAACAGTAAATCAACCCAGGGTAATTACAATTGAGACTTAACTAAGGAGCTAGGGGGACTCATTCCCGAGTGACTCTTCCTTTGCTTCAGAAAACCGAACCATTTCCTGCTTTCTTACTGCTTTTAGTTAAAAACAACAATCACTCAACTTAGTTGGCTAGATAATAGATATTCACGGAGTAGGAAGTAGATCCAGACCCCGGGTTGATAATAGAACTTGCCACTTTACTGCATTCCCGAACTGCGATTATACTTGGTCGCAGTTTGGTGTTGTGTTTTAGCGTGTCAACAAACACCTAGCATCAATGCGGTCCTGGAAGTGGCTGAGCCTAAGGTTACACCTCAAATGAATCAGGAGCTCCTAAGGCCTTTTTCAAGGGAGGAAATCTATGAAGCCCTATAAAAAATGGGACCAACCAAAGCACCTGGCTCGGATGGTATGCCAACCCTGTTTTTTCAAAAAAACTGGGCCACTGTTGGGGACACAGTTTGTTTGGAACTTCAAATAATTCTCCTAACTGGGGTGGTTCCTCCTACTTTGAACCACACACTGTTAGCAATGATCCCTAAGACAAATAAGCTAGTATCCCCAAAAGAATTTCGGCCTATTGCACTCTGTAAAGTTCTATACAAGATATTGTCCAAGGTCATTGCAAATCGACTCAAGACAATTTTGGATGAGGTCATCACTGACACTCAAAGTGCTTTCGTCTCGGGAAGGAACATCACAGACAATATCATGATTGGATTCGAGTGTTTCAATGCAATGAAAAATAGAAAGCAAGGGAAGAATGGTTTTGTAGCAGCTAAGCTGGACATAGCGAAAGCCTACGATCGTGTGGAGTGAAATTTCCTAGAGGGGATAATGCTAAAGTTGGATTTTCATGCTGACTGGGTTAAACTGATAATGAGTTGTGTAACTAGTGTTAGCTATGCAGCCTTGATCAATGGCCACCAAACACAGAATTTTAAACCGACCAGGGGATTAAGACAGGGGGACCCTATATCCCCTTACCTCTTCCTTTTATGTGCTGAAGGTCTATCAGCATTGACAAAAAAAGCTGTGGAAGAAGGGAAGTTCGAGGCATTAAGGTGAGTAGCAATGGACCCATGATCACTCACCACTTCTTTCCTGATGATAGCATATTCTTTTTTGAAAATAAGAAGGAGCAAGGAGAAGCCCTCAGAGACTTACTCAGAACCTATGAACTAGCCTCGGGCCAGGAGGTCAGCTTAGCAAAATCCGAGCTTTCTTTTAGTACAAACGTGCTGGAAAGGGACAGAGTGGAAATGGGTGCAATTCTTGGTATGATAAGGGTTATGCACCATGATAAGTACCTTGGTCTTCCTACAGTTATATGACGAGCTAAAAAAGCTGTTTTTGCACAGCTTATTGATCGAGTAAGAGATAAGATCAAAATGTGGAAAGGGAAACTATTATCCATGACAGCTAAAGAAGTGCTCATCAAAGCTGTGGCACAGGCTCAGACCCTCTATGCCATGTCAGTTTTCCAGATTCCCCAAGGAGTGATTCAAGAAATTCAAAAAATGATCGCCAGTTTCTGGTGGGGCAGAAAACGAGAAGAAAGAAGGATACATTGGATGAGTTGGGAAAAGCTGTGTCGACCCAAATATGAGGGAGGAATGGGATTTCGAGATTTACATGGGTTCAACATTGCATTACTGAGAAGGCAGCTATGGAACTTACTAAAGAAACCTGATTCTCTAGTGGCAAAAGTCCTAAAGGCACGCTACTACCCTCATTGTGATGTTCTAGAAGCTGACATAGGAGGGAATCCAAGTTATGTCTGGAGGAGCCTTATGCAGGCTCAATCCCTAGTGCGAGATGGTACAAGATGGAGATTGGGAAATGGAGAGAATATCCGCATCTGGTGGATCGTTGGATTCCAGAAGCAGGAAATTTCAAAATCCAGTCTCAAGCAACAGGGCTGGGCATTACTGAGAGGGTTTCAAGTCTGATTGATTGGGGAACTAGTTCATGGAAAAGCAACCTACTGCAATCCTATTTCCAACCAAATGACAGGGCCCAAATTGAACAGATTCCAATCCCTTCTCAACCTAGACCTGATGTTTTGATTTGGGGGAGAGACAAGACTGGAAAATACCCAGTCAGATCAGGGTACAAGGAATGGCGTAGAAAACAAGCTTCAAACCAAATTGAAAGCTATGTCCCTATAGATTGGAAGAAAATTTGGATGCTAGATCTGCCACCCAAAGTACGAATATTTGTATGGAGATGGGGTAGTAACATACTACCATCAGGAGTGAACCTTAGTTGGAGAATCAAGGATGCTCACGACGAATGTCCGTTTTGTGGACTGCTGGAAACCCAAGAACACATCACTAGGGAATGTGACTGGGCAGGGAGGGTGTGGAGACCTAGTGAAGTAGCAAACTTTTTCCAATTGAGGGAAGGAAAGAACTGCGAAACATGGCTGTGCGATCTAATTGAGGGTGGCAACACAGAAGACCTAATGCAGGTGTTAATCACACTTTGGTTTTTATGGAAGGAGCGAAACAACCATCTTTTCAATAACCCTAAGCTAAAGGAGTGGGAAATTGTGAGCAAAGCCCTGAATTACCTGGAAGAGTATAAAGCGCAGCAAAGCCAGGGAAGCACAGGAACATCGTCGTCACGCCCTCGAGCTCGGACCAAGTGGGAACCCCCTCCTGATGGTTTTTTAAAGCTCAACACCGATGCAGCGATCCTGGGAGAAGAGGGAACGGGTTATGGAATGATTCTAAGAAACAGCTCTGGCAATTTTCTGATGGGAGCTACTTACCGAACGAGGAGGCGATGGCCGATTGAGATGGCAGAAGCCCAGGCGATGCTGTGGGGTTTGAAATTGACCCGAGCGCACTATTCCCAGCCTTTGCTTTTAGAATCCGATTGCCAGTCTGTGATTCAGAAACTCAATCGTAGGGAGGCAACAGAGATGGAGGTGGGGATGATCTGCGACGAGATTCGAGAATTTGCGGTTGGAGGAGGAAATGTCGAATGGAGATTTTGGAAAAGAGAAGGAAATGCTTGTGTCCATGAGATGGCTCGACTGAATTGCAGGGTAGATGAGACGGAGATATGGTTTTCCAGGCCACCTGACATTCTAGTCCCTTTAATTTTGAAAGAAAGCAATGTAGTCCCTGAACTTTGATTTTTGGAATACACATGAATTTGTCAAAAAAAAATTGTATTTTTTTTAAATATTTTACCTTCTTTCACTATTACATCTAGAAAAGATGATCATACTTTCATTTATACAAGTAGATGACCAATTTAGTGACGTGATATGAATATAATATGGATAATTGCAAAATGTTACCAACTGTCACCTTAAATTTATTACCAATTGTCACCTGAAATTTATCATTAAACAAAACCATGAGTGATAATTGTGACTCCAAATTCAATCATGCTTTCTTTAACAACAACGAATCTGTGGAGTGTGGACTGTGCTAACTCAAAAATTGAAACACCACAAATGAGAAATACGGAAACGGGGAGCAAAAGCAAGAACGGAGTCGCGGGTGGAGTGGGCCGGACTCTGAAGGATTGAACTCTGAAGAGTTAAGCAGCAGAAGGTGGGCCTAGGCTGCAAGGCCCATAACAGTGACAAATGAAGGTCCCGGTGGCACAAACTCCATAACAGGTTTCCGGTTTGAGCCCGAATTTCTTGCAGTCTCTCTTGCATTTCGCATCGCAGTTCGAAGGCCCAGTGTTGCACCACAAAATTCTCCGTCAAGCAAATCAAAACCGGCGGTGGAGCTGGTGGCACCTCCTCCTTCACTTCCGGCCGCCCTGGTTGCGACCACTGTCACAACAGGAAGTATCATTAGGCTCTTGGGCCAGGGCCGCTAGCCCATATGTTTCGGCCCAGTTCCATAAATACCACAAAAAGCAACCGAATGACAGGAACTGTGAAGGGAAAAGTTTACCGTTGATGAGGACGAGAGAAGCCACAAAACACCATAGTGATGGGCAATACGCTGCGTGATCCTGCCATGGTGAAATGTGAATAACGAGAGAGGAAGAAAAGAGTGTTAGTTGTAGTTGGTTGAGATATGAGACCTAACACTGCTAAGTGCTAAAGCCGAATATGTAGCGTTATCTCTATACGATGAACAAGGAAATGTAAATGGAGGTGAGTTGTATGAAAGCGAAAATGGAGATTGTGTTCAATTAATATATCAAAGAAAGAAAGCAATGTAGTGGATGCGATGAATCTAAATAAATAAGAAACTTGTTTGATGTATTGGGCAAAATTCAAAGGATCAATTTAATCTTAAACATCATCTTATATTACTGTTATCATGCATTTGATAAGCCTATACAGTATACACAAATCCAGTTCCAAGCAAAAACAGCTCAGAGAACAAATTCTCAAAGCATTTGTTACCGAGGTCATCATGGCACAAAGCACATACAATTTTGCTATTATACGTAATTAGTTATATAACCCCTTCTTTTTCAATGGTAATATTTGATGAAATTAGTTCTAAAATTAAAGCACATAATTATGATTGTTGCCAGTTGCCTCCATCTTCTTTCCATCGGGGATAACCGGAAGTTATACACAGTTTACTCTTAAGTCTTAACAGTATGATTACTTTTAATTAAGAGCTTAAAGTCGAGCGTTTAGAAGTCCATCAAATTAAAAGTAATATAATAATCTTGTGTTCCTATATTTTAATTTTTTTTTCTTTTTCATTTGTAATTTGTTAAATCTGGCTTTCCTTACTTTCTCTGCCTTTCCTTACTTTTAAATCTGGCACTCTGTGTTTGTCTCTATATATAGGAGCTCATGAATTCCCAACAGATTGGACGACCAATAAATCATCATCATCATACCACTAGCTTTGTAACCGGCCTATTGGCCGGGTTGTTCTCTTATTATTGATACTAATCAACTGTTGCATTTTGATAATTTGATGTCATTTACATAACCACCGCATTGTAATGTTATAGCTTAATTGTTAAAAAGATTTCCATATAAAGTGCTCCAAGCCCACCGTCCAAATAAAAAGTGCAGCAGTGGAACTTGAGGCTGCGCAGAATGATGTACTTCAAAACCTTAATGCAGATTCAGTGGAGAGGGAAAAGAAGTTGTGTAAGGAGTATTTTGATTTAAGAAGAGCAGAAGAGCAGTTTTACAAACAGAAAGCAAGAACTCAGGCTATCAAGGAGGGGGACTCGAATACTGCATATTTTCATAAGACAGTAAAAATCAAGGCTCAGAGGCAGCAGATTACACGTATGCAGAATGAACGAGGTGAAGTACTAACTGATGTGCACAGTATTGGCAAGATTGCAGTGGAATTCTATGAGCAGCTCATTGGCTCTGAGGATCAGAATGTGGAGATTAAAGAGGATTCTTACTATCACAATCTAATTCAGCATAGGTTGTCTGAGGATGAGCAGAGGGAATTGTTGAGAAGTATTACAAGAGCAGAGATAAAGCAAACCTTCCTTTCCTTAGCCAGGGATAAAGCCCCAGGTCCAGATGGATTTCCTGCAGAGTTCTATAGGACTCATTGGTCTCTTATTGGCACTGAAGTTGAAGAGGTAGTTCTCTCTTTCTTTTCTACTGGATTTATGCCACCTATTGTGAACAGCACCATTTTTACTTTGGTTGCTAAAATTCCCAGTTCTGAAAAGATGAAGGATTATCGACCTATTGCTTGTTGTAACACCTTGTATAAGGGGATTTCAAAAATTTTAGCTAATAGACTTGCCCTAGTTCTTCCTAGTGTGATCAGTAGATCCCAATCTGCTTTTATCAAAGGGAGGTCTATTAGTGATAATATCCTACTGGTATCAGAATTGGTTAGGAATTATCATAGGAAAAACATTACACCTAGGTGTGTTGTGAAGATTGACATCATGAAGGCTTTTGATTCTGTTAACTGGAGGTTTCTGTTTAGTATACTCAAAGCAATGGGGTTTCCAGAGAGTTTTATTAAACTGATCTTTGCTTGTGTAACTACACCCACTATTAGAGTTGCAATTAATGGAGGTTTGTGTGGTAATATAAAGGCTGGAAAGGGTTTAAGGCAGGGGGACCCCTTATCCCCCTATCTGTTTACAGTTGCAATGGAAGCGTTAGACTGTTTGGCTAAGAAGGCTATGATTGAAAATCAGATTCCTTACCACCCTAGGTGTAAACCTCTTATGATTTCCCATTTATGCTTTGCGGATGACTTGATGATGTTTACTAATGGGTCCATAAGAGGGGTTGCAGGAGTCCAAAGATTGATGGATAGTTTCTATAAACTGTCTGGTCTGAGATGTAATCCAGCCAAATGTAAGCTCTTTTGTGCTGGTATCTCCAAAAGTGAAATGCTTGCTATTTCTGGGTTCACTGAATTCCCTCTGGGGACACTCCCTGTGAGGTATTTAGGTGTCCCATTAATAACAGGTAAGCTTACAAGGCAAGATTGCAAGGTTCTGGTTGACAAAATAACACAAAGGTTAAGAAGTTGGAGATCTAAATTGCTCAGTTATGCAGGGAAAATACAGCTTATCACTTCAGTTATATCCAGTACTCTCCAATACTGGCTCAATATTTTCCTATTGCCTCAGTTTGTTATCAAGGAAGTGGGTAGGCTGTGTAATGCTTTTCTCTGGGTCTCTGCAGAGGATGGTAGTCGTAAGAAGGCTGTAATGGCCTGGGATAAGCTGGCTGTTCCAAAGTTAGAGGGTGGCCTTGGGATAAAAAATTTTGGTGCTTGGAACAGGACTTGTGTAATGAGGCACTTGTGGGAAATACTCACTCTGGGAGGATCAATATGGGTTGCATGGATAGCCAGGTATAGGCTGAAGGGCAGAAGTGTATGGGATATATCACAGGGTTCTGCAGGTACATGGGTCTGGAAGAGAATTCTGAAATGTAGGGAGCAAGCTGTTCTTTTCATTACTGGTTCGGGTAGCACTACTCTTTGGAAAGGTGAGAAAATGAAAAGATATTCAGTATCTCGGGTCTGGAATGATATCAGAGAGAAGAAGCCAGAAGTGCAATGGTGGAGGCTTGTCTGGGAAAAAGAAATCATTCCTAAGCATGGGTTGATCTTATGGCTTGCTATACATGGGAGGCTGGTGACTCAGGATAGACTCCTGGCTTGGGGGAAGGCTGTTTCTGGATGCTGTTTACTGTGTCCAGGAGGAGTTGAGAGTAAAGATCATTTATTGGTGCATTGTGCTTATACTTGTGCTGTTTTGAGACTCTATATGCAGGGACTGGCTCCACCGATAGTAGGGAGTTGGGATGATATGGTTGCTTGGTGTGCAAGGACATGGAGGAAGAAGACTGCCAAAAATCGTGTCTGTCGTGCCCTGTGGAGTGCTGCTGTGAGTCATATATCGCGTGAAAGGTGTGCTAGAATGTATGGGGAACGGGGGATCAAAGATCCTGCTATGTTGGTGAAGCTGATACGTGAGGAAGTAGCTTACCGAGTTTGTGAGGATTCTGCTCTACAGTTAGAAATAGATAGAATTAATAGTGGATAGAAGTTGATAGTATTTTTGCTTTGAGTTGTAAACAGTTTGAGAGGCGCTGCAGGTTTCCTCTGCTAGTGGCCTGAGCTTAATGCAATTTTTTGATTTCGCATCAAAAAATAAAAAAAAAAAGTTCAATTTGATTTATATGTTAGATTATTGTGTATATAGTTTACGGTTTTTGTAATATAGTTATATTTAAAATGAAGTTGCGTTCTATTGGTCTACGAAAGTTTGAACTTCTCAAATGACCATTCAATACTATACTCAGTGAACAATTTTGTGTTTTCTACGTAAAGAATGCATATTTTTAAGTTACTGTACTCAACTATTAGTCCATGAATATTGGATGCCAGCCCAACTTCTCATTGATCATAAACAAATGCTCCAAACTCTCATTGTTTATCGTGGTTAGTCATGATATTTTAATTCTTTAATATTGATTTATTCAAGTGTTTGTAAACATATCATATCGTATGGACGATTGAGTTGACATTTTTCGATAGAAACTCCGGTACGATTTTACTAAATTTTATTTATTCCTTTCACTGAGGGTGGCTACGTTTTTTTTTCAATTAAAATTGCGGTTTATGTCTCAACAGACATATTTACGTAAGCATTTTTCCACAATTTTGGAACTAATTATTTGACAATTTGGTCTCCTAAAATAGTTATTCATTAGCACTAAGAAGGCCTTCGTTTATCTTAACAGGCGGGGAAAGAGAATATGCCACAACTGTAAAAGAATTCTACACGGAAATTTTAAAATTAAAATCTAATTACAGTTCGGATGTATATAAGCCCATAACTGGTCATAAAACGGGGGGAAAGGACTGCAATGATTTCATTGGGGAATCTAATTACATGCTAATAGTTTCATTGGGGAAAAAGAACTGCAATGGGCCATAAGCCCATAAGGCCATAGCCGCTCATAAATCGGGGAAGTAAAAAAAACTAAATTAACAACTCCGAAACTCGCGGGGAAGCATTTAGAGCTTACGTGGCATAGGCTTTTTTTTTGAAATCCTTTTAATATAGGGCTAATACCACTAGGAAACCCGAACTATCAAGAATGTGTCATTTGTGTCTTAAAGTATCCAATATGACATTTATGTCCCAACTATTATAGTATCGTGTCATTTATGTCTCAACCTATTATAGTTTTGTGTCATTTATGTCCTAACCCGAACTATTAAGAATGTGCCATTTGTTAAATATTAACGGTCGGCGCCGGTCAACTCTAACGAAAAAATAGTTTAGGACACAAATGTCATATTGGATACTTTAGGATACAAATGACACATTCTTAATAGTTCGGGTTTCCTAGTGGCATTAGTCCTTTAATATATTGTAAGATACTCTGAAGGTCAAAAGTTTACATGCATATTAACTTAAATCAACAGTGCTTTAGACATAATATCTTTATCTATACATAATACAGTCATTTGGGACAGCTGTATTCACACAAATAAGAGATGAAAAACCTTTAGTTTTGCATCATAGTAGTAGTGTTGTCTGACTACATAGTGTGTAGTGTTGTTGGTTGATTTGGTCATTCGTTTTCGGAGTCTGCCAAAGTGATTAGTTGAATTTGGAATAATGTGATGACCAGTATCTTGATGTTGTTGTTTGGAGTGTGCATTGCCAGTACTGGTTCTCACAGTCTTGAATCTTGACAGGCTTGAATGGATGGATGGTGTGCCTTTGACATCGCATTATGACTCTGGTATGACTATGCGGGGTTTTAGTGGGAGTTGCCATCTTATGGGTCGACTTCATTGGCCTGCAAATGTATAATTAGTCGTTAGTTTATGAAGTTCACGTGTTAACAAAAGATGAAGAAGGATCTCTTGTATTTATAACAAATTTGTTCAGAGGTATCTGTTGTTACTTTGTTGTTACACAGGAAAGCTGGTTTCCATTGCAACAATTAAAATAAAGGTTAATCTGCCACGCAAAACACTCATTCCAAGTAAAAAATAAGTTGTTGATTAGTAGTATCTTGCATTTCCCATGGATATAAAGTTTTTGCAATTTCATCCGAGAAATCATTTTCATGAATAGTAAGACTCTAGAATTGGCAAGGACCCATTTGAACATGAATGATATCATGCATTTTAGTTTACTATATTATTAAAAATTTGTCATACCCGAAGAATGTTATCATGTCATTCCTCATATGAGGCTTGGAGATGAGTAATAGTTGAGGCTTGAAGAAGACTCAATAAAAACAGTTGCCTTAGTGTGGGAACCAACTATGAGAAACATTTGTAGCAAAATGAGTTTATTCTAATTACTTGAAAATGGAGGTGCTTTCAGTATCATAGCATTTCACAGTATAAAAAAGACAACTTTTATGGCTGAAGAGAGATATGACTACGACAGATATAAAAACACATTTTGACACTCAATTCAATTATATTAACGAACTTACTATGAGGTCGAGAAACCGCGACAAACGTTCACTCTCTTTCCTGATATGTCCATTTGAGAGTGCAAATAAATATACCTTCAAACCAACAGGCGAACCCGCAAACTAAAGCTGAACACTGGTTCGCTCCTATGCAAGGTAGTTAGATCGCCCATAATAATGCATTACTAAATTATACTGATCGAATCCTCCTTTGACATCACTGCAAAGTCACACAGACAATTGAAAGTGAGCATTTTTAGCAAGTCATATCAACAAACTTGAAAGCTCAAGTGCGAATTTACATACTTAAGAAACGAATGTTTTTTTTTTCTCTTTTGCAGATCTCATGTTCCATAATTAGAGTGAGAAGAGCACATCCTGATAAAGAAAAATTCACTTCTGTCAGAATGAGATCCATGTTATGGGACCTCACTTTGAGCAACTGCCATGCCAACCGCCAAAATTGTTCAAAAGAAACGAAAAGAAGCTTGCAGCATTAAGAAGTGGATCACAACAAACCAAGTTATGTAATTTGATTGTGATGACCAATTATAGTTTCCCCATTTCAGCGTTTGCTTTAGCTGCTTCACCATAGTTGCAGCTAAACTGCTAAAATTATACCTTGCTCTTAGCCATTAATCCCTCTTAAATGTTGTTCTCCACAAACTATGATTTACCCCAATCTCCATTGAAATTCTTTCTATATTAGCTGCAGATTATAGAAGCCGGCAATTCAAAACAGATTGCTCGAATGGATTTAACTATTTAAGATCCTTTGATCAACAAAACCTACAATAACAGTTATCATATGATGAGAGAAGTCCTGTATGATTGCAGTTTTTCAAGAGGGAGAAGTCCTCTGAAGGCGAATAATGCATTGTGGGAAGTAGTTATACCCTGGGTGTATGAAAGCTAGAAGTGTTTATATCTTGTGTGGGGGCAACCAATATTAAGAGAAGCATCAAAAACAAAAAGGAACCCTGAATTTCCATGAGACAAATAACTACAATTCTCAACCTTGGAATCAAACAGTAAACGATTGAAACTATCAAAGCCAGACAGAGTCCTGAAACGTCCTTCTTCCTCCCTCTAAGCAACACATAACCCTTAATATAAAATCCAACGCCTAGAAATACTAAGGATAGAGAAAAGAAATTCCCTCAAATTACGCAAATTATCAGTACTGGAATCAAAAGTAGCGATTGGAACTATCAGAAGCCAAATAGAGTGCTCAAACATCAGTCTTCCTCCCTCTCAGCAAATCAGAACCCAAACCAAAATCAGTGCCGAAAAAAAACTCGCAGGAAAGGGAAATACTCAGGAAAAAAGACACCCAAACTATTGAAATTACCTGCGGAAATACAAAGAGGTCGAGAATGGGACGATTGCGACGTTGGTGGTATTCAGAAGGCGGCCGGTTTTGGAGGAATATGTGGTCTTCCGATGACAGGCCATCTCCGTGGCAGTCAAGGGATTTTGGGTACATTCACATAAACCGATTGATGAAAGAAAAGGGAAGAAGATCTGAAATGTTCTGTGGGCCGAGAAAGGGAAGAAAAATGAAAACCTGTCGTTTGAGGAAGCAGAATGGAAATCTGGGGAGGACCAGGAGGTGGGTAAGAGGCAGAAGGCATACATGGTCAGCGTGGAGGGGAGCCCTGGTTTTTTCGCGTAAGAGAAAATTTCCAAAGAATTGTCGAGACGGGAAGGGAAGTTGGCGTATGGATTGTGTGACCGGCGGGAGGAGTAGACACCGGCTGCAAATTGGGAAAACGGGGACCAAAAATGATTGCGGTGGGACAGGAAGAGGTTTCGTTGGAATTGAGAGTGGACGGAAGAGAGAAGGAATTCTGATGGCCGATGGGTAGGGAGGAGAGATAAGGTGATGACGTGGCAGCATGAGTGGTAGTAAAATTTGAATCTCTTGAACGGCAGTTTGGGAAAACTCTTATATATCTTTAGATTAGATTACGGTTAAATTACACGTTTGGTCACTCGAATTATATAAATATTTCATGTTTGTCACCCGAATTACTTTTCTTTCTTATTGACCACTAACTTTACAAATCATTTCACCGTTAGTCACCGGCCGTCAGTCTCCGTTAACACCGTCAGATTTTTTATGACGTGGCAAACAGAACTATTGACTGGACATAATTTAATGACGTGTCAATTTAAAAAAAAAAAAAAGATTACACCTCATTCTCTTCTCACTGTAACCTTTCTTTTCTCCTTCCTCTTTGCAAGACCAAAAACTTCAACTTGAAGGGCGACCGCTGCGATACCCTGGTTTTGGCAAACAGGGCAATCGATACCTCACAATCAGATTGTGAGACCACAGCATCGTCGACGTCCCTGTCTTCAGTCCACCGCCTTTTTCATCTATCAGCCTCCGAGGTCGTTTTCGCCATCGGCGCCATCAATCTCCCCGTCCCGTCGGTGAGGTCACTGTTACCACAATCGTCGATTCAAGTTTTTGCGGCGCCACCGTCGTCTTCTCCCGCCGCCGCGCGTTGCTCGTTCCTCATCCCGGTGGCCCTTGTTGCCGTAAACTCCGTCGCCTTCAGCATCCTAATCCGCCGCACCACCAAGTTTTCCTGTCGGAGTCGGAGTCGCCACTGCTCGCCAAGACGAGTCGCTACAGCCTCCTCTCAAAGGCGCCGCTACAGCCTCCGCCGGGAATCCACACCATCGTCATCGATCCGCCGTTGTCGTTGTCCCCGTTTCTTCTTCCAGATCTAGGGAAACCCTCCAAAACATAACCACCCCTACATATCAAAATCGAAACTCCTTAAACTGGGAATCAAACAAAAATAGTAAAAATCAACAAGCATTGAGAAGGAATAAACCACTTACCACCTTCGTTCTTCTGCCGGCGACGAGAGCAAAGCAGCGGCGGATTGAGATCGAGGGAGGAGGAGAGTGTGATTTGGGGTTCTAATTTTTCTGGGTTTGATAGAAGAGGGAGATAGAGAGAAGGTCGAGAAGAAGCAAAAGAGGGGAATGGAGGATGAGATGCAGATGAGAAGCAGAGAGGGGAAGGAGGGCCGACATTAGTGAGAGTTGAAAGGAATGTATTGGGTTTTATTTTTGAAAAAAATATAATAATAATAATAATAATAATAATAATAAATTCCATCTCAGCCTTCTGTCAGCTCAGTCAGTAGTTCCGTTTGCCACGTCATCAAAAATTTAACGGCGTTAACGGAGTATAACGGTGATGGACGGCTAGTGACTAACGGTGAAACAATTTGTAAAGTTAGTGGCCAATAAGAAAGAAAAGTAATTTTAGTGGCAAACGTGAAATATTTATGTAATTTGAGTGACCAAACGTGTAATTTAGCCCATTAGATTACTATATGAAGGTTTCCCATCAAAATGTTTTAATTCAGAATTTCCAGCCCTCTGAGTGATTGTAGGAAGGATAATTTTGTCATATTGAAAGTATTAAAAATTGATAGAAAAAATATAACTAAATTTAGGTTTTCATTTTGATTATCAACCGAATGTATTAAAAAAACAAATTTGCAGAATATGTTTTTAGGTAGGACACTTCTTAAAGAGATATAATGAAGATAGTGCTTTATTTAATTTTTGGTTTTATATAACATATTAGTTATTACAATGTTTTCCGAGAATTTGTAAATTTGATTTACATATTACTTTATTTAAAGCAAGGTAGTTATACCGGAAAAATTAGTGGTAGAATATTTCGGACTCAAATCTTGGTTCTATCGTGGTTGAACCGTTTAGTACCGCTAAAACCGCCTATCACTGGGGATCTCGTATTTTCAATCCGACTGACCAATATTGTAGAGTTTCTAAAACATTGGCTTAAAGTAATTACTCTACTATTCAACTGGTACAACGTTTCAAACGCCTACGATTTGTTGTAGGCACATTCTATTAATTACTAATAGAAAGTATTTAAGAATATATAAATTTCCAGAGCATATGCTATAAGTTAGGAATTGATAGCTAAAATTCCATGTCAAAGAAAGAACCCTTGATGATGTGTCAATTGCCTCGAATTCCGAAAAACAAAAACTATTAAGAAATCAGACATCTTCCACCGAGAATCCCATGAAATACTAAGTCAATGATCAATAAATATTGGTTGAGTGGTTGAGAGGTACTCCTAATTTTGAGAACGTATGTTATATAAGATAATAAACTTGAGTAATATTTTTGACAATATGATAATAAAATTAAGTGTTATGTTTGACGAATCGAAGTATAATGTCTTATATCGCGGCTTTACAAATCTTCATTGTGGATACTCATGAGATTACAAATATTTAATAGTTTGATGTTACGACAAAACAAACCATTTCAACAATTGAAGATAGTAAGGTACAAAGATAAGTTGATTTTACACAAAATTAAATTGTTCTGACCAATGGGTAAAAATATCATTTGCATAGAATCGTCCACTCAGCAAACCAATGATTCAATCTTCAAATCTTGAACACAAGTACAAATATTTATCGGTCTCTATTATGTACTTCCAGGAGTACTTTATCGAGTGGTGCTATGCTTAATGCGAACCCTGTCCACGAAAAGTTGAAGAATACTTCAACGAGTACTTTAGTGGGAATTGTAGGACTACAGGGAAGACTGCATCAATTTTGTAACATGCAAAAAAACTAGTAGAAGGGTGTGTTTGTTAATTTGAAATAGTAGAGGAGTACAAAATGCTATTAACCCTATAACAAATTATGTTGTTGTATTTAATATTTTCGATCATGCCTTAAGGTCTCGCTTCTATCTCTTGCAATAGAGTTTATATTTCCATGTATGAGCCATTTTGTACCAAGCTCCTAGAAGACTCGAGGGAATCGAAGTAAATTTGACATTAAATAAGTAGGATAATAAAGACTGATATTGAAATTGTTACCAAGATCGCCTATTCTTTTAAAATGGTATATAAACTATACATAACTTGAATAAGTTGAACGTGAATCTTGTAAACGCATAACTTGAATATCAATCGATATAAGAGCAAGTCATTTAGCTTAAATAGCATGCATATTAACAACGTAATAAATAGTTCATAATGGAATATTAACTAGCCCCTTTAAATCACACACTTTATTTTGTCGAGCAGTTTGACTTGGTCTAGCCACCAACTCAAAGGACCAATGCTATATATAGAGGATATGATTCGCCTTGTCAACCAATGGTGGATACTAAGGTTAGATCAATTGGGTTTCGGGTTCTAAGCGACGGGTTTCTCGACTTGAGACTACTTCACAAGCTGTGTAATGTATAGAGGTTCACTGAAATGTAATTAAATTAAATTACACAATTAGGTCCCTTTATTCAACTCACATTCCTCAAATTAGTCTATCAATAGATGATTTATTGAGAAAAGGAGAGAGAACGATTCGAACCTCGATAGTTTTCAAAGAACTATTTTGGTGGGTCAAAACAAGAAGCAGAAATATAACACTTGTGTGTAAATGGTTGTAGAGATTTGTACATGACAGAAATGCATGGTGGAGAAAACTTGTTAGTCTGGAATTCCCTAATAATATCCCTGAATGGATGTCGGGAGAGTTCAAAGCGCCTAGAGGTTGCAGTCCATGGTCTCAAATTGTTAAACTTAAGAAGGAATTCTGGAGATTTTCCTTTGTAGACCCAGGGGCTGGTGCAAGGACGTCGTTTTGGCAAGACTATTGGATCAAGGGTCTCTTTCTTGAGGAGGAGTTTCTATGGGTCGTTGTTGCTGCCGCTATGCCTAATTGCCGATTAAGAGACGTGTTACTTGAGAGAGATGAGAGGATTTTCTGGGAAATACCTCTAAAGTACAGCTTGAGGGGTGGGGCTGAGAGTGAGAGATTAAATTTCTAAACTACCTCAATACTCTATCAATTAACTTTTTTATTGTAGGTCCTACGAGGTTGGTATGGTATCCCTCCCCTACCGGCTTCACAATGCACTCGCTCTATGTAGAGATGGTCAAGGATCGTATTCCTAGTATTAGAAATTTCCCGTATAAGGTCATTTGACGAATAGGGGATTACTCGAGAAGGACGAAGACTAGAAAAGTTTGACATTAAGACAGTATGGGAGTCCATTCGACCTAGTGGCAACAATGTGGAATGGTATGCAGCGCTATGGGGCAAGTTCCCATTCCCAGATACAGATTTTTGGCGTAACTGGTACTTAACAATATAATAAAGACTAGAGTGCAACTGAAGGAGTGAGCGATTACAGATTCATATATGTGTTTATTATGTCAAGGTATGGCTGAAACTAGAGACCATCTTTTTTATAGTTGTACTTACTCCACTGTAGTGTAGGCAGGCCTATTTCCAGATGTGGTATGGTCAAGACAGTGGTTGGACATGGTGCAAGAGCTCTTCAAGGTAGTCAAGAAGGGACACAAGCTTATAGGAGTTTTGTGGCGTTGGTATGTAGCACTGGTATGGAAGGAGAGATGTAATCGTGCATTTACAACAGGGAAGTGCAGTGAAGCTGACCTGCTTGTGCAGATCAAGCAATAGGTGGCAAGCTACCGTCAAGGCAACCTTGAGTTCTGTTCAGTATTAGGCTATTAGCAAGCTACCCTGTATATTCTGTCAGTTTGGTGACTTGCACGAAACTACACCGCGAATTAATCCCGAATAGAGCCCAAGTTTTTAAACTCTAACCGGGTGCAGTATAGGGCAAGTTTTTAAACTTAAATCGAATTGAGTTAAAGCTAGCACACTCAATCATTCATGAATAATACCTCAAATATCATATAAAACAATCAATCAACACAATTGGTTCATCTTCTTGCATCCTAGCATATAGAGAGACTAGGATTCACAATACCATAACCTCTCACTAGAATCCTCTTTATTCTGAACATGAAAACCTAACCTAAAAAATGAAGCTCTCCTCTTCTTCCTTTCAGCTCTCTGTTTATACTGAGATTACACCTAGTTCACGGTCTTCTAGTGCATGGCCGTGAACACCTAAACGCGTCTGTGAACTCTGTATCATGGTCAAAACACACCGCTTCACTTCCTGGGGTTCACGGTCTTAGCGACCGTAAACTGCCTTGTCGTCAGTAACCTCTAGAACCCCCCCTGGACGCCTCGATGTTCACAGTTTGTGGTTCCAGTTCACAGTCCTGGCGCAGCTCTGACCGTGAACTACGGCTGGTTCCTGGACGCCTGTGCTTCACTGTCACGGGTGACTTTGGACTTTTCTTTGGTTTTTGCACTTTTTGACCTTCAATCGTCCCAAAACTCGTCCTCGACCCTTCCACACGTACTAAGACCTGAAATGTATCAAAATAAACATAACCTAGCGTGAAATACGTCGAGGAGCGATGAAATGCAAGGCCAAACTATCAAGAAATGTGAAGTAAATTGTGTACAATTGAACCGAAATCATTTGGGTTTAATCTCAAGTTAGATTGTAGTAGTGAGGGTATAAGGTTGTCGAATAGTGAGCTATTAGTGATACTGTAGAATAATGATCAGATGGTAGGAGGGATTAGAGTAGCATGTTGTAGCTGTTGTGCTGTTTTTTAATATATGCAATTTTTTTAAAAGCTTGATTTAACAAGCATGAGCTAAATAAACGAACAAAACAATTACCGGAAAAAAGATCCTCACTTACGATGCTCTCAAAAGAAAAGGATGGGCTTTTCCCAACCGGCGTGCCCTATGCAAAAGCACTGAAGAAAGCATGCATAGACCATCTCTTCTTGTCGTGCAGGTTTACTCAAGAAGTCTGATGTTGCTAAGCTCATTCATCGGTTCACACTCAATTCCATGGAGATTGATGCAACAATCAGATCTTGGCCAATAACACCTTCTGAGAGTCCCAAAGAATGGTGTACTAAAGTGCTCCTACATGCTATGTGCTGATGCATTTGGCTTGAAAGGAATTCCATAATTTTTAAAGATGAAAGGTGTTATCCCTAGAATGATCTGCTTGAAAG